TTTGGTTTTGGTTTGTTTTTTTTTCAAGGGAGTGGTTTGGGTTTTTTGGGGGGGTGGGAGTTGGGATTGTTTTTTCTGGAGGGGGGAGGTTTGTCTGTTTTTTGGTTTTTTTTTCTTTTAAAGTTATCGCTTTATGCTTGGATAGTTATCACTTTTTTTGCTTGGATCCTTTGGCATTCATAGTGGGCCCACAAGAGAGCTGGAGAGGGACTTGTGATAGGATAAGGGGGGAATGACTTTAAACTAAAAGAGAGTAGGTTTAAATTGGATATTAGGAAGAAATTCCTCCCTGTGAGGGTGGAGAGGCCCTGGCACAGGTTGCCCAGAGAAGCTGTGGCTGCCCCAGCCCTGGAAGTGTCCAAGGCCAGGTTGAAGCAACCTGGGCTAGTGGGAGGTGTCCCTGCCCATGGCAGGGGTGGAATGAGATGACCTTTATGATCCCTTCCAACCCAAACCATCTGGGATTCCATCATCAGTCCCATTACAAACGGGAAGCCCAAACCTTTGCACTGAAAGGGCTCCCTCATAGGGCTACAGGCAGAGCAAAGAGATGGCAGGAGGGATGCACAGAGTGTATTCCCCTTCCACATTCTGGTGGCAAAAGGGCTCCAGTGGTGTTTGTCCCAGCTCCCAGGGGGGATCCCAGCTCTGGGCAGCCCAAACTGAGCTCAGAGGACAAAGCCAGACAAGCCTGGGTGTTCAGCCAGGCAGCTGGGAAGAACAAGCTGGGGGTTTTTGTAAGAAAGCAAAGAGCAGCTCTGCATCCCAGGCTGTGTTTACATTTAAAATATATCTGCTTGTTCAGCAAAATGTTTCTGTTCCTTCTGTGGTCGGTGGAAGTACCACTGCAGACAGGGTTTTACTGGCAAAAATGACAATTCTTGCCAAGATTGTTTTGCTCAGCCCATCAGTGAGTGCTTGATAACTGATTGCTGCTCTGTGGGGTCAGACATTCTGTGGTGAAAGCAGCTGTACCCCAAAGCTGGCACAGCCATTCCAGCAAACTGTACCTCAGCTCTCCTCACTGATGCTACACAAACAAACCCCCGGTGGAAAAGAGAAACAAAACACACACCCCCAAACCACTGCTGCCAAGGCTGTGTTCCCATCTGACCCCAGTCTTCAGAAAGTCAGAGATAAGCCATAAAAAGTCACCTAATGATGACTCTGATGGAAGTGACACTGGCAGACAAACAATAAGTTTACAGGCTGTGCTTTTTGGGGTGAACATCCCCAGAATTGTCCCTTCGCTCAGAAACCAGCTTTTCAGGAGAAGTAGGACTGGAAACCTGCCCTTGAAAGACCAGCCTGGCCCCTCTCCAACCAGCCACAGAGCAACACCACATAAACTGCATCCCCCAAACCCTTTTGGTGCAGAACCCAAGGAAATACCACGTAACACACACTTTGTGCGAGCACATGATTTCCTCAATAGCCCAGTTTCACACCCAATTTCAGCTTCTCTCGTTCCGGTCAGAAACGAGAATCAGAGCGTGAGGTAAAAATGCCTCCTGGCTTTATTTGTTTGATTTTGCTCCCCTGCTGCTCTGGGCTCCTCCCTCTCCCCCAGCCTGAGTCACTTTGGTGTCAGCAGGTGCAGTTGCTCAAGGTCTTTAAGGGATTCTACGGATGCAGGACACTGGATACACCATCAGGCCCTTGAGTGGCCTCTACCCTCCCAAATCTCACTCAGTAAACATTGGAACTGGGGGGGTTCCTCCTCCAGTGAACTTTCCAATCGGATTGGCTGAAGTCCTGTCCCATCTGGGGCTCTGCACTGCCCAGCTCTGCTCAGACAAGAGGGAACAGCCTCAAGTTGCACCAGGGGAGGTTTAGGTTGGATATTAGGGAAAATTTCTTCACTGAAAGAGCAGTTAAGCACTGGAACAGGCTGTCCAGGGCAGTGGTGCAGTCACCATCCCTAGAAGTGTCCAAAAAACATGTGGATGTGGTGCTTGGGGACGTGGGTTAGGGGTGGACCTGCCAGTGCTGGGCTGGTGTTTGGATATGATCTTCTCAGAGCAATTTTATGACCTTAATGATTCTGTGATGGGCCAAGAGTAGGAAAAAAACCAGGTTTGTCACTTCAAGGCCAGCAAACACAACCCAGACTGAGCAGGGGGATAGAAGGGACTGGATATGGCAAGGAACCCACTTCCATCATCCAGTTGGACTTGAATATTTGGACAGCCATGTAATAAATGAAATATAGCTTCTAGGACTGTGGAGAGAATCACGAGGACCCCGAATCAGAAGCAAAAGCAGCCCCCAAGGAAGTGTTTCCTTTTCTCCACATCAGGGTGGGGAACAGTCAGTTGTACCTCAGTTGTTGTGGAAGTGCCTCAGATTCCAGCACAGCCTCACCATGGGGGGAATTTTAGGAGGCCAAGCAGGCAGATCATCTCTTCCTGACACATTCAGGATCTTCCTGCCGTTTTCTTGCAGATGGGGATGAACTGAGAACTGGCTGGGAGAGGCACTTGTTAAAATGTCACCCTCCCATCTGAAAGGGACAGGTCAGGGGGGGCCTGTGAGAGGCTTCAGCACCTCTGCTGTGCTAAACTCCCTCTCCTTGGATGGCACATTCCCAGGAATCCATGAGAATCATGGAATCATGGAATGTTTGGCTTGGAAGTGACCTCAAAAATCATCCCATGGGCAGGGACACCTTCCACTACACCAGGTTGCTCCAACCTGGCCTTGGACACTTCCAGGGATCCAGGGGCAGCCACAGCTTCTCTGGCCAACCTGGGCCAGGGCCTCCCCACCCTCACAGCAAACAATTCCTTCCCAATATCCCATCTCTCCCTGCCCTCTGGCAGTGGGAAGCCATTCCCTGTGTCCTGTCCCTCCATCCCTTGTCCCCAGTCCCTCTCCAGCTCTCCTGGAGCCCCTTTAGGCCCTGCAAGGGGCTCTCAGCTCTCCCTGGAGCCTTCTCTTCTCCAGGGGAACCCCCCCAGCTCTCCCAGCCTTTCACCTCCCAACCCCAGTTTTCAGTCCCCAGACAGTTTCCCTGGATGGGAGGACTTTCCCACAGAAAGGTGAAGTGACTTGTCTATGGTTGCCCAGAAAATCAGTGGGAGAAGTGATAGGAAAATTCCCAATTCCTGCCCTGGAGGAAAAGGGCTCTTTGGTGGGACCCTCCTTTCCCCCAGGGTTCCTTCAACAGCAGCTCTGCAGTCCTGTCCAAGCTGGAAGTCCTGGCTGTGCTTCCAGGCTCTGTTCATGCCTTTTAACAGCAGGGAGGAGAGGGACAAGCTCAGGGAGCAGCTGGAATTGTGCAGAGCACTAGAGGGGGTTCATGGTGCTGGGATGGTGGAAAAAAGAACAGAGCTCAACATGAAAAAAAAAAAAGAGGTGAGGACAGTTTCACAGGGACCTTTTCAGGCCCTGGGGGGTTTTTGCACCCCCTGGGCCACACTGAGGGGAGGGGGAAGGTGAAGACCAGTCATAGTACTGAGGGGATGAACAGGGTCTGACCTCAGTGAGGAGTGAGATGTTGTTTAACCACCCTCCACCTCAGGACAGTCCCTTTCC